TTTCCTATCCTCTATTATCCCCCCTCCCCTCCCCTCCCCTCCCATCTTCTCTCTCTACCCCCATCTACTACAATTCATTTCTCTCCTTGTTTTTTTCCCCATTCCCCTCACAACCTCTTATATGAATGAGGGTCTCCTTCCATTTCCATGCAGTTTCCCTTTTTTCTCCCTTTCCCTCCCACCTCATGTCTCTGTTTAATGTTAGTCTTTTCCTCCTGCTCTTCCTCCCTGCTCTGTTCTTAGTTCCTCTCATTATATCAAAGAAGACATTTGGCATTTGTTTTTTAGGGATTGGCTAGCTTCACTTAGCATAATCTGCTCTAATGCCATCCATTTCCCTGCAAATTCCATGATTTTGTAATTTTTTAGTGCAGAGTAATACTCCATTGTGTATAAATGCCACATTTTTTTTATCCATTCATCTATTGAAGGGCATCTGGGTTGGTTCCACAGTCTGGCTATTATGAATTGTGCTGCTGTGAACATTGATGTGGCAGTATACCTGTAGTACGCTCTTTTAAGGTCTTCAGGGAATAGTCTGAGGAGGGCAATAGCTGGGTCAAATGGTGGTTCCATTCCCAGCTTTCCCAGGAATCTCCATACTGCTTTCCAAATTGGCCTCACCAATTTGCAGTCCCACCAGCAATGTACAAGAGTACCCTTTTCCCCACATCCTCGCCAGCACTTGTTGTTTGACTTCATAATGGCTGCCAGTCTTACTGGAGTGAGATGGTATCTTAGGGTGGTTTTGATTTGCATTTCTCTGACTGCTAGAGATGGTGAGCATTTTTTCATGTACTTGTTGATTGATTGTCTGTCCTCCTCTGAGAAGTGTCTGTTCAGGTCTTTGGCCCATTTGTTGATTGGGTTATTTGTTTTCTTATTGTTTAATTTTTTGAGTTCTTTGTATACTCTGGATATTAGGGCTGTATCTGAAGTGTGAGTAGTAAAAATTTGTTCCCATGATATAGGCTCCCTATTTACCTCTCTTATTATTTCTCTTGCTGAGAAAAAACTTTTTAGTTTGAGTAAGTCCCATTTGTTGATTCTTGTTATTAACTCTTGTGCTATGGGCATCCTATTAAGGAATTTGGAGCCCAACCCAACAATATTAGATCGGAGCCAACTTTTTCTTCTATCAGGCACAGAGTCTCTGATTTGATATCAAGCTCTTTGATCCATTTTGAGTTAACTTTTGTGCATGGCGAGAGAAAGGGATTCAGTTTCATTTTGTTGCATATGGATTTCCAGTTTTCCCAGCACCATTTGTTGAAGATACTATCTTTCCTCCATTGCATGCTTTTAACCCTTTATCAAATATAAGAAAGTTGTAATTTTGAGGATTGGTGTCTGTGTCCTCTATTCTGTGCCATTGGTCCACCCGCCTGTTTTGGTACCAGTACGTTCGAAATCTGTTATCGCTATACCGCCTGACTCACACTTCCTACTTAGAATTGCTTTTGCTATTCTGGGTCTTTTGTTGTTCCATATGAATTTCATAATTGCTTTATCTGTTTCTACAAGAAATGCCCTTGGGATTTTGATTGGCATTGCATTAAACCTATAGAGAACTTTGGGTAATATTGCCATTTTGATGATGTTAATTCTTCCTATCCATGAACAGGGTATATTTTTCCATCTTCTAAGGTCTTCTTCTATTTCTCTCTTTAGGGTTCTGTAGTTTTCATCGTATAAATCTTTCACCTCTTTTGTTAGATTGATTCCCAAGTATTGTGAATGGGGTGGTTGTCCTCATTTCCATTTCAGAAGATTTGTTGCTGATATACAGGAATGCCTTTGATTTATATGTGTTGATTTTATATCCTGCCACTTTGCTGAATTCATTTATTAACTCTAGCAGTTTCTTTGTAGACCCTTTTGGGTCTGTTAGATATATTATCATATCATCCGCAAATAGTGATAATTTAAGTTCTTCTTTTCTTATTTGTATGCCTTTAATTTCTTTCATCTGTCTAATTGCTCTGGCCAGTGTTTCAAGAACTATATTGAATAGAAGTGGTGATAGAGGGCATCCCTGTCTTGTTCCAGATTTTAGAGGGGATGCCTTCAGTTTTTCTCCATTCAGAATAATGCTAGCCTGAGGCTTAGCATATATAGCTTTTACGATGTTGAGGTAAGATCCTGTTATCCCTAGTTTTTCTAGTGTTTTGAACATAAAGGGATGTTGTACTTTGTCGAATGCTTTTTCTGCATCTATCGAGATGATCATGTGGTTCTTATCTTTAAGTCTATTGATGTGGTGAATAACATTTATTGATTTCCGTATATTGAACCAGCCTTGCATCCCAGGGATGAATTATACTTGATCATGGTGCACTAGTTTTTTGATATGCTTTTGTATTCGATTCACCAGGATTTTATTGAGGAATTTTGCATCTATGTTCATTAGAGATATTGGTCTGTAGTTTTCTTTCTTTGAAGTGTCTTTGTCTGGTTTCGGGATCAGGGTGATGTTGGCCTCATAGAATGAATTTGGAAGATCTCCTTCTTTTTCTATTTCTTGAAATAACTTGAAAAGTATTGGTATTAATTCTTCTTTGAAGGTTTTGTAAAACTCCACTGTATACCCATCCGGGCCAGGGCTTTTCTTGGTTGGTAGTCTTTTGATGGCTTCTTCTATTTCCTCCTTTGTTATTGGTCTGTTTAGATTGTGTGTATCTTCTTGACTCAATCTGGGCAAATCATATGACTTAAGAAATTTATCGATATCTTCACTATCTTCTAATTTATTGGAATATAGGATTTCAAAATAATTTCTAATTATCTTCTGTATTTCTGTAGTGTCCGTTGTGAAATTGCCTTTTTCATCCTGTATGTTGGTAATTTGAGTTCTCTCTCTTCTTCTCTTCGTTAACATGGCTAAGGGTCTGTCGATCTTATTTATTTTTTCGAAGAACCAACTTTTAGTTTTATCAATTTTTTCAATTTTTTTTTGTTTCAATTTCGTTGATTTCCGCTCTGATTTTAATTATTTCTTGACTTCTACTATATTTTGCTCTTCCTTTTCTAAGGTTTTGAGATGGAGTGTGAGTTCATTTATTTGTTGTTTTTTTTCTTTTATTGAGGACTGAACTCCAGGCAATGAATTTCCCTCTTAAAACTGCTTTCATTGTGTCCCATAGATTCCGATATGTTGTGTCTGTATTTTCATTTATATCTAAGAGTTTTTTGATTTCCTCCTTTATGTCTTCTGTAACCCATTGATCATTCAGTAACATATTGTTCATTTTCCAGGTGATGCAGGATTTTTCGTTCCTTCTTTTATCATTGATTTCCAGTTTCATTCCATTATGATCAGATAAGATGCATGGTATATCTCCACACCTTTATATTTACTAAGAGTTGCCCTATGGCATAATATATGGTCTATCTTTGAGAAGGATCCATATGCTGCTGAGAAGAACGTGTATCCACTTGATGATGGTTGATATATTCTATATATGTCAGTTAAGTCTAGTTTATTAATTGTGTTATTGAGTTCTATAGTTTCTTTATTCAGTTTTTGTCTGGTGGATCTGTCCAATGGAGAGAGCGGTGTGTTGAAGTCACCAGTAATTATTGTGTTGTGGTCTATTTGACTTTTGAACTTGAGGAGAGTTTGTTTTATGAACATTGCAGCACCATTGTTTGGTGCATACATATTGATAATTGCTATGTCTTGTTGGTGGATGGTTCCTTTTAACAGTATATAGTGGCCTTCTTTATCCCTTTTGATTAACTTAGGTTTGAAGTTGATTTTATTCGATATGAGTATGGCCACTCCTGCTTGCTTCCGAGGACCATGTGAGTGGTATGATTTTTCTCAGCCTTTCACTTTCAACCTGTGTATGTCTTTTCCTATCATATCGCTGAATGAGCTGCGATCAGCCGAAAACTGGCGATGGTGACGTCAGCTCTCCATGATGGTGGCCGCTGGCTTCGTCGGTGGTCTGACCGGTGTGGAGGACAGAACTGGACCGCTTCCTTCCCCCGTCTCAAACCCAGAATTCAGCACTGAGCACAGTGAGGGCACAGCCGGCAGGAGCCCGCAGAATCAGCAGCGCCGTTTCTATGCGTTGCTAGCTCGCCATTTCTATGGACACCGTTTCTCGGCCCCGCTGCAGTCTCTAGCAGCGGGGCGAGCTGCTGAATAAGCAGCTTGAATCTCCAGGCGGACAAATCTCGCGCGGTTGAGCCCCCAGTAACCGATCCTCGGGCGATGGAAATCCTTTCTCTAGGTTTCGGTGCACCCCAATTTTGCTGGAAATTCCTAACAAGATAGCTTTTGGCCGTTCTAACTCGTCATTCGCCCGCGCAGTGACGCGGTACATGGGGGTGATGCACTCCATTCGCCGCCATCTCAATACTCAAGAACTATTGTTTTACTTTAAATATCTGAAATTTTTCTTAAATTCTAAGTATATTTTTTTCTAAATTCTATAATTTGCACTGGAGACTAGTAATCATCCAAATTATATCTGGGTACTAATCATATTTTCTGTGGATATATGTACTACCTCATTAAAACACGCCTGATTTTGAAATTTTAATTAAATGATAAAATATGATGCATGACAGTTAGAAGTCAGAATACTATAAATATTGCATTTATTTTTTGTGGTAATCTTTGTAATGTGTCTAGTTAAGCCATGATACACATTCTTTTATTGTATTACTTCTTGAAGCAATAATTAATCTCTTATTTTTAGAAAGCTTCTACATTCACAAGGTGATGAGAGACTCGGATCTCATATACGGTATTACATTAGCCAGACTAAATGTCCTGTTGTCATCAGGTCTTCATTAGACTTGTACATTTCCTTGGAACTTTATTGAAATTCTTTATTATGTTATAATCACAAATGTGATATCAGATAGTCTTTAAAAATCAAAGAGACTGCTCTAGTTTTGAATGAATATTATTGTGAAAATATTAAAGGTATGTAAATATTCCATTTAGAAACTTTTAGTATACTAATAGTATAAACATGTTTGTTCAGGTTTTGACTGGATCATCTCGTCAAAGCTATTCACCTTCTGGCTTTCAGGATTTCAGTAAATGGGAATCGGTGCTGAAAATAAAAGAAGGACTTCTAAGACAGAAAGAGATTGTAATTGATCGGTGAGTCTGTTTTTTATTTACTATATATTACAGGTATATAGAAATGTAGATTAATGAAACAAATACATTTGCACCCACTACTTTAAATTAGAGAACTACAATTTACAAAATTCACTGATGGCACCTTTGTCCCTCTCTAGTCCCCATAAAGGGGAAAGCAAGACTTCTTAGAACAGAGGTTTTGTTTCTCACCTGCTGGTAATGCCTGATTTCTATCTTCATCTTTATTCACTTTAGTGTTTACGTATTATTTGGAAGGTTCTCTTTGTGTTTTTAATATATGTAGCAGGTTAGTTGCAAAGCTAATGAATTATCAGAGGTACAAAATATTGTCTTTTGTTTAACATTTAGGGACTATCAATTTGGAAAACTACTTAAAAGTCATTATTTCCTTTAATGTATGTTAGGTCTGAACCACAGAAACTATGAAAATGATAAATGTTTAAAGTTAAATAATTTATAGATAAAAATTATGGAAGTTTTCTTGGACATTCCAAATTTTTTGAATGTTTGAGTACCAAATCTCTGAAAAATAAATTAATTTATACTTAGTCTCCTGATTATTCTGAGTAGACTTTAATGTTACTTGATTATATTCTCTTTGACATATATTGGCTCTACATCATTTATGTATACTTTTGGGATAATTAAGTGTGTATTGTGGTAATTGGGAAATAGTTTGAGGAAGAATGTTTTTATCAACCAGCAGCTTTTGTTTCTAAAGTAATATACTAGCATTTAAAAATAAAAATGTTTTAAAAAATCTCCGTAACATTTATAGTGCTTAAAAAAGAACTAAATATCCATTTATTTTTTGAGGAAATAGATTAAACTAATAGACTTCAAAATATCATTAGTTAGAATTACTCTGGGATGGAAACCAGAATAAAGGTCCTGAGCTTTTTAATTTGGGATATGGTGTGGTTGATCATACCTTCCAAATCTCTTTTCTAAAAATTATTTGCAAGATATTATTTTTGAAAATATTAGGTTACCTGCATTTATGAGAAAAATGTGCTTTTTTATCCTATTGGATAATTACGTCAAATCCTTTGAAATAGATTGTTGGATAATTAGGTCAAAGTGGGATAAAAGTTTAGGAAACATAACTGCGCTCCTAAATGTGCCCCATTTCTTGAGAAAACATGTATAGTTTAATTTCAAAAACAACTCATAAAACAAGAAACCTAGTTTACTGTTTATTATATTTGCCATTGTAACTATTTTGATGATTCCAAATGAAGTGCCTGACCTTTTGCACTTTGGTCTACTCATCTGCCTCAGTTAAAGGACTTTCACCACTTAAAAATGAAGTTTTTGAAGACCATCGTTTTAAGCAACTCTCCTCTTCCATCCAATTTTATAGCATGATGATTAAATGAATGAATATATGTAAAGGAAAACTAATATACTACCTGATATATGAATTTGGCAGAGTAGCAAGATACAAGATCAACATTCATAAATCAATAGCTCCTTATACCCCAACAGTGATTCTGCTGAGAAAGAAATCACGAAAGCCATTCCATTCACAGTAACCTAAAAAAATACATATACTTGGAAATTAAGCTAACTAAGGAGGTGAAAATTAAAATGAAAATTATAGAACATTGGAGAAAGAAATCAAAAACTACCTTATAAGATGGGAAGGGAGAATTAATATTGTCAAAATGACCATATTACCAAAAGCACTGTATAGATTCAGTGCAATCCCTATCAAAATACCACTGATATTTTTTACAGAAAGAACAATCCTAAAATTCATTTGGAACATTAAGTAACCCAGAATATCCAAAGCAATCCCAAGCAAGAACAATACTGGAGGCATCATAATACCTGAACTCAAATTACACTAAAGAGTTACATTAAAAATCCAGCATGGCACTGCCATCAAAATAGTCAAGAAGAGCAGTAGAATAGAATAGAAGACACAGAGTTGAACCGACATACTTAACATCTGATGCTTGACAAAGATTCCAAAATATATGTTGGAGAAAAAAAAACTCTTTTACTGATCTGGGAAAATTGGATATTTATATGTAGAGGAATGAAATTAGATCCCCATCTCTCACCCAGTACAAAAATCAAAGCAAAGCAGCTCAAAGACTTAGGAATTAGAGCAGAAGCTTTGCAATTGCTAGAAGAAAACATAGGGTCAACACTCCAACATATTGGCACAGTTACCAACTTCCTTAACAGGACCCCTAAAGATCAAGAAATAAAACCAAGAATCAATTAGTGGGATGGCATTATAGTTTTATGCACAGTAAAAGACATGATTCCTCTGATAAGGGATCATTATCCAGAATATAAAAAGAACTCAAAAAGCTTAATACCCCTCCAAACTCAATAAATGGGCAAAAGAACTAAAAACAAGTATTTCTCAAAAGAGGAAATGCAAATGACCAATAAATTTATGAAAAATGTTCAACATATTTAACAATTAGGGAAATTCAGATCAAAACTATATTGTGATTTCATCTCACTCTAGTCAGAATGACAGTTATCAAGAATACAAATGATAATAAATGCTGGTGAGGAATAGGTACACTCATACATAGCTAGTGGAATTGCAAATTAGTACAACCAGTCTGGAAAGCGGTAAGGAAACTCCTCAAAGAACTATAAATGGAACCACTATTAAGACCCCAAGTATCTCACTCCTTGATATTGTCCAAAAGAACTAAAATTCACTATATTATAGTTATATAGTCACATTAGTGCATGTAGCAGCACAATTCACAATAGCTAAGTTATGGAACCAGCCCAGATGCCTAGCAATAGATATAGATTAAGAAAATGTGGTGTATATAAGCACAATGGAGTTTTACTTATCCATAATAATGAAATTATGGCATTTTCCAATAACAAGATGAAACAGGAGAACATCATGCTAAGTTAAATAAGCCAGACTCAGAAAATCAAGGTCAAATGTTTTCCCTCATATTTGAGAAAAAAGGAGATTGTATATCATTAAGATTTAGGGAAGAGAGCAGTGTAGTAAAAGCAGATTAAGGGGGAGGAAGGAGGGACAACAAAGGGGAGAAAATGTGGGATGAATTTGACAAAATTATGCAATGTATAAATATACTACATGTATAAATATACTACATGTATAAATATACTACAGGGAATTCCACTTTTATACATAAATAAATGAAAGGAAGACCAGTAGAGTTGAGGAAGGAGAAGAGGGGAAAGGAAGAAGGAAGAGAAAGAGGGTGGAGAACCGGGGACTGAAATGGGGTAAATTAAATTCCTTGTGTGTATAAAAATCATACATTGTCAAAGTGAACCCAAATATTATACATAACTTTAATGCACTAATAAAAAAACATAAGTTGAGAAAAAGAATTTGATATCTGTCACAGCAAAAATAAAAAGTTAAAAAAAATTTCAAACTTGAGAGCTTTTAAATTTTAGTTATTTAAAGCACTTCTCTCTTTTCTCACTTGTCTTATTTCAGATGAGAAATCTGGCCTCCTCTTTACCTGTATCTCTCTAAATGAATTTATCTTTTTTCCCTCTCGTTACTTGTAAGATTTTCCACTGCTTTTAAGCCACTGATTAAGGTGTACTTTGCTATAGTTTTCTTCATGTTACTTGTGCTTTGGGTTCACATGCTTTCTTTTGAAATCTGTTGATGCCTATGGTTCTTACCAAATTTGGAAAAATTCTGATTCAATATATATAAATATTTTTTGGTGTTCCTACCTCACTTTTTTTATTCTTTCCTTGGAGGATTCCAGTTTTACATGTATTTGGTCTCTTATAATAGTCCCCTAGCTCTCTGATAGATTCTGAGATTTTAATTTTGTTTGTTTGTTTATTCTGTGTGTATTTCTCTCTCTTCTCTCTTCTCTCTCTCTCTCTCTCTCTTTTTTTTTTTTTTTTTTTTTTTTGGTATTGGGGTTTGAACCGAAAGGTACTTAGCTACTGAGCCACTTCCCTGCTTTCTTTTTTTAATGTTTTATTTTGAGACAGGATCTTACTAAACTGCTTAGGGCCTTCCTAAATTGTTAAGGCTGGCTTTGATCCTTTGACCTCATGATCCTCCTAGAATGGTAATTGGGTTGGGTGATCTTTATAAAAATAGCTTTCTCCCCTGACAATGAGATTATCATTATCAATAACTTTTATTGGTATAAACCATTCAGTAGATTTTGGATGAATGAAAATAACAGTTTTAAATAATGACATTTCAGACTAGGAGGTAACATTTATTATGTTAGGTAGCAAGAATAAAGAAAGCAAAGCATGATGTTGATAGAATTTAAAAAGAATATCTATGTGGGCTGGGGATGTGGCTCAAGTGGTAGCATGCTTGCCTGGCATGCGTGGGGCGCTGGGTTCGATTCTCAGCACCACATAAAAATAAAATAAAAATGTTATATCCACCGAAAACTAAAAAATAAATATTAAAAAAATTCTCTCTCTCTTTTTTTTAAAAAAAGAATATCCATTAAAGACCACATTCTGCACAAGTACTAGAACTACTCCAGAGTGTGTATAAATTCAACTTTAATTCTGCATATTAAAAAAACTAAACAAATTTCCTCTTATGGTTTCTAAAATTTATAGTGCTTTTAAAATCTCATGTAAAATTTTTAAATACTAAAATTGCTTTTAACTGTTTCTTAGAGAAGTACATTCTTTATAATATGATCTCAATTTGTATTTTATAGGCAAAAGCAACAAATCACCCACCTACATGAGAGGATAAGGGATAATGAACTACGGGCACAACATGCCATGTTAGGGCATTATGTAAATTGTGAAGATTCTTATGTGGCTAGTTTGCAGGTAAGACTACAGAGGATTTTGTAGTTGTTGTTTAATAGTAAATTGTATTAATAATATACCTAGCTTATAAAATCAGGACATTTTAAATGAAGGTTTTAAATTAGTATATTTACATGGTTCATATTTATATGTGTGGCAAAAGGTGTCCACCTATAATCTTCCTTTTGTCCAGTTCTTCCCACATATAGCAGAAGCTATTGTTACCAGTTTCTAGTGTATACTTTCAGAGTTGATACATATAAGCAGATGTAAATATATTTTATTCCCTTGTATTTATAAGAAATATCAATATGGGCATTGGCATCTTGTTTTTTCCCTTATATTATTTAAAATTGTATAAAATTCAGTTATTATTTTCATACCACTACATAGATAACACTACTTTATTTTCTATTTTAGAAAAATAGCATGCTTTTAGTCTATTTTCTGTTCACCAAAATTTGGGTTATTTTCTGTTTGATCTTTAATAAATGATACTCTCAATAGCCTTTTATAAATATTCTTTGAGTCATGTGCAAATATTTTCATAAATTATTTTTTCTTTTTAAGAACCATATGTTTTCCTAAAACTGAAAACTTTTCAGATAAGACTTCTCAGTGTTTTATGAAGTTTGTAATTTTTATTGATATTGTCAAATTGCCATTCAGGAAAGCATTATGTATGACTTCCCCTCTTCTACTTCCTGCCTCTCAGCCATACTAACAGAATCTGTTACCAAACTTTTGGAATTTTTGCCCTTTGTTAAGTTATATAAAAGTCATGATTGGAGGGAGTTATCTCCATATGGCTTCAACATATATTTCTTAATAGTGATGTTAAGCTTCTTTTTATATATTAAAAGATTGCTTCATATTTCTCTTTCTTTGAATTAGCTTTTCATATTCTTTGCTCATTTTTCTGTTAGGTTTTGGGGGTTTGCTAATTTTATACAAACAATATACATAAAAATAAAAATTATGTATAGAAGAAATTAGCCTTTTGTCTGTACTTTGATTGGAAAATATGTTTTTCCAAATTTGTCATATTTTCTATTTATATAATCCTGTTTCTTTTTCCTCCATTTTTTTCCTACTGTAAACTCAAATTCTAATGAGTATTTTATAAATGACTTCCACCTTTACAAATGAGCCCGTTTAAAAATCAATCATTAAACATCCCGTGTTAAATTTTGAGGTGACAAAAGTGAAGAAAAGTTTCTGCTTTCGTGGATCTTAGAATTTACAGAGGGAGGAACCATATATGAAAGCACATTTATTCTCCCCCCCCCCCCCAAAAAAAAAATACTGTATTCGCTAGGATAAAGCAGTATCTAGGCCTTGGGTCTAGAAATGTGAATGTTGGTTTTCCCTGTAATAACAATGTAAGGATCTGTGAGACCTTGCAACAAAATTTATCTAGCTGAAGGGCTATTTTCTCCAGTTGTTACTTTTTAAGAGTTTTCCTTAACACTTCTTTTTGTTTTTATATATAAACTTTATTGACACGTTTATTCCCCAAAAGCGGGGTGGTGGTGTTTTTATTGGGATCAAAAGTGAGGCCTGATTTAGCTTTCTGGTGGTATGTACTTCTATTTTTTTTTTTTTTTTGGAAAATTTGGTCCTCTTTGTTAAGGTTTTATTCCTAGATTTAAAAAAAAATTACTTGAAGTGGAATTTTTCCTTCATTGTATCTTCGGTATGTTACTTATAAATATTAAAGACATGGAATCAGAAAATATTGAAGAACAAATAACTGTTGGATTTACCTGAAGCAGAGGCATTTAACAAAGATTCCAGCTTGCTTTCTATACTTAAGTTACTAATAAATCAAAATACTTCATTTATATATGATTTCATATGACTTTAATCACATAATAACAAGCTTATATGGTATAGTACTGAGATTAATAGTATTTTTATGCTGTGTATCTAGTCTAATTTGATTTGTTAATGGTAATCTTAGTAGAACCAGTTTCTTCTTATAAATCAGTATTCTAAATAAGTGTTTTTCTTGAATTATATGGTTATATTACTAAAAGAATGTAAAAATAGGTATCTGAGGGCTAAAAAAAGAATTTTTTTTTCTTTTTTTAAAGCATAACACTAGGCCAGTAGAGGGCTCTCCATGTTAGTCTGCAAGGTCAGATAAAACTATCTGTAGGATATGGAAAAGGTGTGGCTAAAAATATTAGAATTTTGAATCACATAGAGAATTGAAATATCATTAAAATTGATTTAAAAATGTCAGAACAGTTTATAAAAGGTAATATAAGGAAAATACTAAGTGGGTATAATAAATATAGATGGTAAGTTTTTTTCTATGAACTAGATATAGAGATCTAATAAAATGGCAAAGGATAGAAGAAATAAGATGATAATAAAACATTTCTTTAGCAAAATAATTTTTACCTGAGATCTTAACATTAATTTTTTATGTATAGAATTTTCTGTTTCATAAAATTTTTATTTTCTGTGTTTCACTTTTTATGTTTCATAATTTGAATAATTCCATTAGTACATTTGAAAAACAAAGTTAGACTTCTATTCTGTATATTCTAAAGTGAAGTCAATTTGTAAAATTTATAAAATTTTATTAATTTATAGATGGAAAACATTCTTGAGAAGTAATTTCCATTTGACTATTAAAAACTTAAGATTATAATTAAGATGTCTCCTTAAAAGTAGATATTACTACACATCTCATTGCTGGACACAGTTTTTCCTAAAACTGAAAACTTTTCAGATAATTTTTATGATTAATAGCATTAAAGAGCAGTTTATACTTAGAAATTTTGGTTTAAACCATATTAAGTTTAAATCTACATATTAAGTTTAAATCTACAGTTAGAATGTCTTATGGGAAAAATAAATATGAAGGAACTGTTTTTTATTTTGTTAGTTGAAGAGATTTCTTTTTTCCATATACATGTATACCTTGAAAATATTAACTTAATGAAATGTATTTTTAAACTTTATTAATGAATTGTTGTATCCTTTTTCTTTCCATTTATGTCATTTTCTTCTATTTTTCGTTTATTTTTTTTTTCTGCTACCAAGTCCTTTGGTTCTGATAAGCATTTAATAAGTAAGTTCCACCTTTACAGACAAGCCTGTTTTATAAACCATTAATCATCTAATGTGTTAAATGTTGGCGGCACAAGTGTAAAGAACAATTTATATCTTCATGATCTCAAATCCTGTAGAAGGAGACTATATACAAAATTTATCCATTTACATTAAAATTATTTGTATTCACTATGGAAAAGATATTATTTCAGCTCTAGTAATATAAATGTGAGTGAATTTGGTTTTGCTTGAAAGAATGTGTAATCTTAAAAGAAACAAAGGCAAACAACAGACTATTGTCAAATGTTGGAAGTACCCAAAGTGGTTATATATGAAGTTCTGTGAGAACCCCTACTGAGAATGTATAAATTAATCTTCCAAAAGTCAGAGTAGTCTCACTGTTGGAAGTGATATCTAATCTGAGAACCAATAAACTAAATGAATTTAGCCAGGTGAAAGGAGTAGCAGAAGAACAGTGTTTGAGGCACACCATACAAGATGTGAAGAGGCCCAGAGGAATGAGGGGAAATGAAGGATTTGGAAAACTACCAATTATTCTGTATGGATGAAGTTTAAAATGAGAGAAAAGTAGTCCTAACAGATGTGGTTGAAGAGGTAAGTAGAGGCCACATGTTTTCAAAGACCTGAGACAGTAAAGGGCCTATCTTTCTCGGGTTTGCTATATTAATATTATTTAACATCCTCTTTTACTCTCCAAAGTATCCAAGTTTGGTTACTTTGATAGCATAATGTAGACTATATTTAAGATAGATGGTACTACAGATAGGGAAACCAGTCAGGAAGGTAAATCAGTAGTCCAAAGGTTTAGTGAACACCCAAATTTTAAAACAGTGCTCAGTATGAAAGGAAGAGTATTTATTAAACATGTTTGACCAAGTATAGTCAAATGAACCAGATGTAGTGACTTATTTATGTGATGAGTGATAGATAATGATTGCCTAGTATCTGATGGGACAGTTATTTATAGTATCAGTGATCACAATGGAGACTATTATGTTAGAAATAGGTTTAGATAAGAAAAATAATTAAATTTACATGTTGTCAATTTTGGGTTGAGAATGATGTTGATTTTCATGATTGAAGGTCTGAGCCAGAGGTGAAAGATTTAGGTGTCCTTAGTTTAAGTGTGTGATGGTTGAAGCCTTGGGCATGATTATGTATTCAAGGAAATGTTTGTGCAATGAGAAGAAATGGGATCTGGAACTAAAGGCAGGGAAGAACAGTAGTTTGGAGGTAGTAAAAGCGCACAATTTGTGATGGAGCCTGGGACAGGGGAGCTACAATAGAACTAAAGGAAAGAAAGTATTTCTCCACAGAGAGGAAGTGATTGTATGCAGGAAATTTAGAGAAGGTAGATACATGCTGAAAAGATTGTTACTAAATGTAGAAATTAAAACATTCTGACCTTAGATTTCTTTATGATTAATTTTATGTAAAATTTCAATTATATTTTGTCTTGCTTACAGAACCCATTTTTGTGGTGCAGATTTTTTTCTTACACAGTTGATAAAGTATAGTTTTCAAGTCTCTGGTTCATATGTGCTTTTTAATTTTCATTTGGTTTTGTTTTCAGTCAGGGGGAGGAGGCTACACTAGTGTAATAAGTAAAATTGGAATCTTTTATTATTTCTAACCAGCCATGTGTCCTGTGTAACTACTTCTCTGAACATTTTCATTCCAGAAAAAGTAGACTTCAAAGTAAGGAAAGTTATTAGGAATTAACAAAATGGTCAATATTCTAAAAAGACAGAACAATACTTAAGGTGTATGTAATTAACAATAAGATGTCAAAATACATGAAAGAAAAAACTTATGGAACTACAAGAAGAAATAGATAAATCCATTGGTTGAAGATTTTAACAACTTTCTATAAGAAATGGAAAGACTCAAAAGGGGAAAAAAAATTCAAAGAAGATAGCCGATCTCAATAATCA